CAAACAACTTTCTGTCACATTTTATTAGTTGGTATCATTTTTACTAATACCTGTCTTATAGCTTCATGACTTTGAGTTCATATTATTTTCATGCTTCAATTAGAAAGAAGTTGATAGCCAGACTATCCAGGAAGGTAATGGAAAAGTCTTGTAGCAGGGCTTAGTGGTGGAATTTATAGTCAAATGAAACTTTGAAATATACTATAAAACTTCTCCTTCCTTTACGTACTTTTACTTGAGGTCTCATAAGCAGTAATATGTAGAAATGCAAAACTTAATCAGCTAAAAAATATAGCAAATCCCACATATCACTTTATGCAATGCCAGGAGAGCAGAAATATATTTTCCTAACCAGAGGAAATTAACTAGGCAACAGTCCTATATCTATAATTTAAAGCAGTAAAATATGTATGGCAGAAGCCAAAGCCACCTTAAAAGAATTCAGGGTAGCAGTATATCACAAATTAATGAAATGGAGACATTTTTAGAGCATGCAGCACTGATGATATTAAAGGGGGGAGAATATTTCACCGCATAGATCCAACTGATAAATACTTTTAAAATCAAGCTTTTTTCCCCGTTTAAAAGTGTAAGAGCTTGAATATTAGGAGGAAGCATGCACAGACCATTAACATTTCTGATGAAATCTCAATGGAGATTAGGATTATTTTACTCTCTCCCTGCCTGTAAAGCTCTGGTGTGGCTTTCACATTAGGAAAATCTGAGTAAATCAAAAGCCAGGAATTATGTAGTTAGCACTTACTTTTTTCATCTAAAACAGAGCTGAAAGAAACTTAAAAAAATTACTTTATATTCTGTGCTGTAGCCAAGCTGGACACTACGGAATATTCAAACTACCCCAGGTTTTTTAAAAGCAATCAATTTACTGCTGCCAAATGTAGTAGGTTTATATACATCTGGGAAACATGCACCTACGGTGCTGATGAATTTCTCCTGACACTGCGCTGATTTCAAGAGAATGTTATTTTAAATTGGCAGTAGAGAGACTGGTAGAGAAGGATAAAGCCCTGAGGATGGCTGAATCAAAGAGAATTTCAAAAGAATTTTCCTGATGGTTCTTGGATAATATCACATGTTAGCTATTTTCAAAGCCAATAGTTTCCAACACACTTCCATTTATGGTATCAATAATTAAAAAATACTTCAGTGGGAGAGGAACTTACCTTACTGAGAAGAGAAATTGGAAAGCTGTATTATTATCATAAACACAGGAGATGCAAAAAGCTGTGTCTCCATGGAAAAGCTATGGAAACAGGGGTATCTTATTTGCAGCTATTGAGTGGTTACCACAAAATGTGATGTGATTGCATGTGCGTGTTCAAAGTGCTACTAGAACATGATCACAGAGAAACGAAGGGCAGATCCTCATCTCCTTTTTTTCAACAAAGCCAAATTAAACTACCTCAAGCTTTGGTCCTAAACCTCAAAGACAACCAGAATAGCGTTAAGGAAATGTTTTGGATCCAATTCAGAGGTAAAGCTGGGTTTAAAGAAAATTTAAATTACCAAAACTTAAATCTCATTATGTCCCACTCCCTGCCAGCATGTCCCTGCCAGCTCCTAATGAATTTTTAACATCCTTCCCCCACCCCACTGCGCACATCAGCTCTGACTCGGGCACCCTGAACTGTACAGCTGCACTCTAATTGTACCTCACATGTCAAGGGGCAAGAAGAAAGGAGTGTGGCGAGAGCATTGATAAATTTAACTTAACATTCCTCCAGCTACCCAGCAGCAAGGCAGAGCGGTGAACTCCCCTCCACATTTTACAGGGGTATCAGTTACTTCAAAGGAATCTATTTGAGCACGAGGGAGTCTGGCTTGCTCCCAGATTATGCATCTTTTGTGTCTGGCTGTTTCTGGAGATCCACAGCAAAGCAACGACTTCCTCCAGTTTGGGGTGCAGTGTGGAGCTTTCCATACCTGCTTTATTAGGGTGCTGGAAGAGGTGAGCCCTGTGTTTTGCATACAAATCATGTAGCTGGAGCTGCAGCTCCTGCCATCTGTATTTCTTCCCGTTCCTCTTATTTTTTTCACTTTTTCCCAGACTTCTCTCCGTCCAGAGTATAGATTAATGGTCTATACCTGTTCACTTGAACATACAGATGTGATTTTAAGGCCAGAACCTGTTCAGCCAGGTTTCAGGAAGCCAAGCACACGTTGCTTGGGGGTTGGAAGCCATGTGGCGCAGGGCAAGAGGCAGCGCTGGGTCACCCTCAGTGTGGGCTCAGCACAGCACGGGCAGGGGTGAGGTTCAGGGAACAAGAAACAGGCACAAATTCTGACCCTTTGGGGATTCCTGGGGAAACATGCAACAGCCATGGCCAAGGGGAGCATTGTGACTGCCATGAGATAACGTCAAGGTTCCCGTGATTCCACAAACTCTCTTTAAATGTTTTGGCGCCTGAGTCTCAACAACACTTAACTTACATTATTGGCAATTAATCTTACCTTGCAATTAATCTCATTAATTGGCTGATCAGCTTTTGGAAATTGTTTTAGTAGCACATGGAGAAGAGTTGTACTGTCTGCATGGGTTCACCATCAATTCTTGACTAAAGGTAGGAAAACTGGTTAAAGAGCTTCACACACACACAAGAAAGAGAGATGATATTCATTGTGACAGAGGTGCAAATCTCAGAGGTCACCTTTCCTTTTGAAGCCCTTTGTCTATTCTTACAATTAAGCAATAGGGTTTTGGTGGCCGACATCCCTTGTGGGACGCAGAGGACCCTCACAACTCTAACTGAAGCTGTGTGACCTCTGCCGAAAGCAAAGGCTGCCTGCCCGCGGCGAGGTGGAGAACAGAAACAAGTCCCAGAGGATTGGCAGGTGCAACTAAACAGCTCAGCCCCTCATTTGAATCAGTAAATTAAGGGTTGACAGTGATTATGGCTGATCTCAGCCATCATAACCGATATCACGACTTTGTAAAAACAGACTGGCAATGTCAGATCTTAGAGCTAGGACTCAAAGAATTAAATATTTTAAAGTAGCAGTCTCCAAAGACAGATAAACGCCCCAAGGCTATGATTTATTTTATTTTATTTTTGTATTTGTAGGGCTGAAACTAGACCCTTTAATCCACAAGCTGACATTTTCCAATCCTACTAGGAATTGAGTGCCTAAGTTTTTCAACCCTTTTGAAAAATCTCAGCTTTAGGCTCTTTGGTAAGCTTGGCCTGATCCAGCACCAAGCACCTTTTGAAAATGCCGCTACTGAAGGCAAAACTACAGGCATTTCATTATGCAATCATGAACAGTAGTATTTTTTTCCTTATGTACCCAGTTATGGTAGATTTCTGGTTAAATATCAAAGGGTAAAACTTGAGTTTCAGAAAAGGTACGCGCTACAGAAAGCTTCCCCCCAACACTTTTAGTGCAGTATGCCTAACTACACAGTTATTGAAGATCCTTCTACCTAATTGCTGTGTTCATTTAGTAGATTGCTTTATTAAACAGAGATCTGAAGCTACAGCTACTTACTGATCACATCTATGCGCAAACTCTACCCAATCAACCCTTTTACAGTGAACATTGCATCAGAAATCATGGAAAAGGTATCAAAAGTTTCCTTTATGGAAAAGTCTCATATTAAGTCATTCTGGTCCCCAACCCTCTTTTTCTCTTATTGAAAAAGTGCCATGGACTTTGGTGCCCTTATCCAAGATCTGACTGTGTGCTATGATTAAGACCTTCAGAGATCTTTTTTTCTTTTTCCTCTAGAAACAGGGAATGCTGAAGATATGGAAAATGAAAAATGTGCCATGTTTGTCCTTGAAGTTACAGTCAGAATAGTGACAATAGCTGTATCACGCTGTATTGTTGCTTTTATCAGCAAGTGCCCTGAGCATACATTAACATAATTGCAAACTGCGTGAAAAGTGAACATGCAAAAATGTGATGCAATTGCCAATAGCCTCAAACATCTGTCCCAACAAAGTGTTCCTCCTCCTTATTTTAATTCTTATTATTTTAACAAGGTTAGTGAAGGAGAAACCATGTCACAGATTATATCTACATTCAGAGTGTCAGAACAATTATTGATGCAAAATTGTTATCCAAGCAAATGTGTGTCACATTTTGTTCACTTCTCATAACACCTGTTCACTCTGCTAACACATTATTACCAGTTAAGGCCAGAATTCATTAGTCCCAGTCAAAGCCCACCTGAAAGCTTAATTCATACACACATCTGAAAAATGAACAAAGTTAACCAAAATGTGGCATCATTTGAGCAGGGCTTCATCTGAAGCTGGTGGGCAGCAAACTTCTGTAGCAGCTAGTGGAAAGAAAGTGAGCCAGACAAATAGGAATAAATTAAAAGCCACCCAGCCTTAAGGGCTGAGATCACAGAGGAGCACAACTGAACCAACCTGCATTTCCACCACAGTGCTGAGACCTTCAACACTCACTCTGGCCGGAGCCCCACACTTTTCCCATACAAACAAATTTTGGTCGATCTCCCCAACAGGCAAATGACAAAAGCCATCATGATGCAGATAGTTTAAAGCATTTTAATTCTACCTAAATATTTTCTGACCCACCTGGGGGTTCTCAGCCCTGAGCCTGGACTTTGTCTCCTTCCACACGTGCAGAGTGTCACCATCTCCCAACTCCCCAGACTGCTCACGATTGCCACCAAGGACAGTCAAGCTTGCATTTCTGTGATACCTGAACACACTTTGTGAATTTGAGGGCATCTGCCCTGCAGATATACCACTAACTGTAACCCCAGGAGGCTTAAAGAAATATCAGCACTCCAATTCATAGAGTAAAGGTCTGAAGAGGCAGCTCTGTGAACGGATAACTGCCCGGGGCTTTGCCAAGCACAATATAGCTGTCACTTGTTATTAGGTGAAAGATTTTCTGGGGAACAGTGTTTTTCATTTTGCATGTCAGAGACGGGGGGAAAAACACATTTAGACAGCCATCTCTTTAAGAAAAGAGAAGAGAACGGCGCGGCAGAGCTCACTTACCGGGGCTGGTTATTGTCAGGAGGTCAAGCCGCCGTTTCTGCTGAAAAACAAATTATAAAAGGAATTGTTAAGAGGGGACTAATTTTAGTGGGTCAGCTTAGACCTGGAAAGTAAGTGTTCTGACATTTACAGCAGGATTAATTACAAGCTACATGGCTCACAGTAACTCTTTTGGAAGGGATCCACGTGTACTTTATGAGGGAGGAAAAAATCCCTTCCTCAGTCCTTTTCATGTGTTTTTATTTGCGCTTATAAAGTGTTACTATTTCTTTTTTGGAACATATACTTGAAATGGATAGCTGGAAGCACAGATGGACCAATATATTTATAAAAGTGATTTCTGATTCTACAGGGAAGAAGACATGGAACCAGGACAAGCAAGTCTAAGTTCTTTATTCATATCAATCACTGACTCAATGCCTGTATGTGATCAAACACAATTATATTGCCTTGGGGTGAACCTTTCAAAGACATGTAAGAGGATCTAGACAAACTCAAGACTGATAAAAAGAAAACTTCTTTGCATGCTGAGCACAGTCAGCCCATGGATCTTGTTGCCACCGGATATCCATCACCCTAAAAGCTTTCCAGATTTGATCATCACTGGATCTGTGTACAGATAGCAAAATACAGAGAGTTATTACGGCAAATAATCAAGTTTACTCAGAGGACTGGTTTCTGGAATGGCTGCAAAACTTCACAGGGTAAGCAAACCCATACTATGAGAAAGTTAAGAAGATTTTTGGCCTGGAACAATCTATCCCACCAAAGCCTTTATGATGGTGGGGTGCACCTGAGGTTCCCTTTTCCCACAACGTGTAGCCAGCACTGTTTTCTACTCCATGTTCCCAGTGTTAGGTGATTTCTCCACCATTGTCTCTCTGTACCTTGCCACTTAAATCCAGGTGCTCCTGGACCATTAGCATCTTTTTCCACTTTTCTGTAGGCTGAGAGCTTTCCATCACAAGCAGGGCTTTCCCCATCTCATGGACAGACTGTTGCTGCCCCTTCATCGTAGCACTTTCCAACTTACTGTCTTCTTCCTAACTTTGCCCAACATCAGTGTGTCTAGCAGGTATTGAAGATTATACTGTCCAGTTTAATTTCTCTCTCCTAATTTGCTCAATAATGTCTGTGTTACTTTCATTTATTGTCAGGCCTATTGATCTTCCAATCTAATTCTCATCACTGCACTCACTGTATTCCCTATGTGACAGCTGAAAGTCCTTGAAGAGGAAACCTTGACTTGGTATTCCCTACCCTGACTGTTGTTCCTTGGAAATCATGACTGATGAAACTCCTTTCCAAGCCCATCATTTCTCTCTGGAAAAGCTTCACTGGCTGAAGTTCATGGACACCGTTGGTCATCCACTGAACACACTTGAGCTGTGCTGGGCACAACAGCAAATTTGGCTTGCTGGGGAGCCAAGTGGGGTGTCAGGCTAGAAAAAACACATTTCTGAAACCTTCCTAGCCTTAAGTTCCTTACCTCTGGCACAAATATATTTGAGAGGAAATTCCTATCTGTCTTTTTCCAGAGGTATTCCTTGTTCTCTTGCTAAGTCATTCGGAGCATGACCTTACCCATGTGCTCGAGCACATTTGCACTAGTTGAAAATACTGAGGCCAGTGTATGCCAAACCTTTTCCCAGGTGTTCCAGGGTAAAAGGGAGCAGGATACCCTGCTGCTGCCCCTGTCACCTGCTCACCCTCCTCCTTTCTTGGGAGCAGCAAAGCAGGGTAAGAAATCCTGTGTGTGAGCACAGCACCCACCTTCCCAGTGGGAGCCGTGAGACAAAACATCTCCTAATGAGCTAAATTTTATATAGATACTGCACCTTAATCCTGATTCATATGTACAAAGCCGTGAAATGCCAGAGCTTAGCCCCCACTGGGCCAAAAGCTTTGCTTACATTTCTCAGCACAACTGGAACTCCAAATGCTGTATATCTAATGAACAGCTAGAGCAGAAAATATATATTCTAAGCCTATACTCCGTGAAAGCCTCTCTACTAGGAAAAAAGGTGGAATATAAATATCCTGCATCAAAGAAAGTTGGAAAATGTAAAGATATGGAACAGAGAGAAAGTCATGCAGCCCCACTGGCCCCCAGTCCTGACTTGAGTCTGCTAAATGGGGTAAAAATAAACATTAAATAAGAAACCAAAATAGCTTAGCTTGATACGTCAAGAAAACAAAAGCATATAGGACAGGTCAAACAAATGGGAAATAAAATGAAATTATTACAAGTCAAATGTTCAGTTTTTAACTTTTTTTCCTGTTTGAATACTGCCTTCAAGCTGACCTTGGAAAAAACAAATTAACTCCAGATCCAGGAAATCTTTGTGTGTATGTTGAACTTTAAGCTGAGTTATTTCTCTGACTTCAAGGAGAGCAGCTCTGATCTTTTGCATCTAACACCTAACTGCTGCAAGGGATTTGAAATGCCACCAGGTTCTTGGCACTGGCTCCACCCAAGTGCTCCAGGCTGGAGCTCGGTGGCTCCTGCCTGCCTGGTGACAGAGGGAGGAAAAAATTCCCAGCTCTGACCTTCACTGGACCTTGAAGAGGTTTCTCTGATTTAACTGGTCAAGGGAAGTTTGTGTACATTCACCCCAGCCCTGGAGAGAAGCAAACAGAATTGTGCATTTAAACATGCAAAAATGCCCTAATTATGGACACTCTCTGGAAATTCCTGCCTGCTCTCAGATCTCAGGACTAGCTCTGCCGTTTCCAGGGCTCAGCTGGATGCAAGCAGCCTAGTAACTAGATGGATTTAAAAAAACCCTAAAAAACCAGACAGACTCACTTATGAGTAGCTATAAAAACAGCAGTATTTGAATTTAAAGAGAGAGACATTACAAATGTCACACCCATTAATAAAATAATTTCATCGGAAGAATTGTGGCTGTGGGGCTTTATATATTTGCTTCTTTCTTCAGTGCTGAAAGATGCAAATTGCAGCTGTGGCCCCCCCTCCAGCATGATCACCCTCTCCCTGTTTTGACAGATTTCTTGAAAGGCTCAGCTCACAAGATGTCTGGCTTTTTTTTGTTCTGCCTTTAGGAATTTTCCACTTCTCAGACACCTGCCCCTGCTGAGATGCTTGGGACCATCCCAATCTTCAGGCAACCTACCATCCAAAGAATTTCCTACAATCTGGGCACTGAAATGCAATGAGTGTCATCCCTGGTTGGGAAAGTGGTGACAGCTTCCCATGTCTCTAAGGCTGGATTTCACCCACGTTGACAAAAGGGCATTCCATGAGAGACACAGAAATGATCCCCACAGCCTCAGCCATCATTTATAAGAGGCAAACAGAAATATTCCCTGCATCATCACAGTATCTCTGCTGCTGCTGTAATCCTGTCCTGCCCTTAAGGGGCAGCATCCTCTTTTCCACTCTGCTGGCTGTTGGAGATCCCAAGGGCAGGAGGAGGCCACTGGTGATTCATTCTGCTTCCCACCTGGAGCAGTTTCCATCGCTGGCACTACCCAGAGGCGCAGTCCCCACACTGCACCAGGGCTCGGAGCAAACCTGCAGCAGATCGTGTTCACTTCCACAAAATTAACACAATCTTTAATTAATGTAATAAGCACTGATGAGTAATAAATCATATTAAAATACAAGGAAGGCAATTTTTTAATAAATTAAGCATTGATTCACTCAATAAATATTAATCTACTAAGCATCAAGTATTCATTGCATTTTAGGAAACCAGTTGAAGAATGTCGCTGGTGAGCTGGTCTGCAGTGTGCAGAATGGTCCCTGTTCACCCATAATATGCATTTACTTTTAACTAATTCCTGAATTTATCAAGTTAAACAACTTGAATGAAAGTGAGTCTGGATTATTATTCCATTGCAAGATGCAATTTTCTCGACACAGATTCTAACTCACCCCTCAGACTTTTTCCTGTTTCTTAGTAACTCCTTTCCTAAGTACCTTTTTTTCTAAGTACCTCCTTTCTTTTCCTTGGTTTTGGAGGTCTTTAAAATATTTGCTGACTGGTGTCACTTAATTTTCACCTCAATTAACTTAGCAAGAGTTGCAAAACTAGGAAAAAAAAATGCAGGGGGAGTGTAAATTAACTCATTCATTTAAGTTCAGCTTATCTATGAGATGTTCTTTCACACTTTGCTCTCTGCAGAGTTCCTCCAACCTTTTATATAGATGTGGGATGTGCTGCACTTGCTTTGACTCTTATCTACAGATTAGCAAAAGAGAAGGGAAAGAAAGCCAGATGCAAAGATGCCCCACGAGACTGATATGGAGCTGTTTCTGTAGCAACCGATGATTTTCTTCTCATGTAAGAATGAGCCTCGTCATATCTAATTCTGAATGTATCTGGGCCTTACTTGCCAGCCAAAGCTGAGTCGAGTATTAAGTCAATATAGTCAGAAAGAGTGATAAAAAAGCAATTATAAAGTCATCTTCCTACTCCTCCTCCAGCCACCATCCAAAAAATATCCTTATCCCTGCTTCTGTCCAAGCACATCATATCCCAGGCCCCAACACCCAGCAGTGCAGGTAAGTGGGGATGGAGTTGGCAGCAGCCACTCAGGGATCTGCTCCACACATGATGCTGGAAGCTCCTTCAGCTTCCCAGCCATCCACATCCCAGGAACCAGCAGAGGTTTTTCTAAACAGCAAGCCCATCTATTCCTGCCTTGCTCTGAGTCTCCATATAAAATTCCTAAGCCCGGAGCTGAGATCAGCTTCAGCTCTAGAAAGCTCCTGTTGGGTTTGTGCCTTTCACTGCCTTCACTCTGGGCAGATTTTGCTGCAGCTGTGAACCCAAAACCAGGCTGCCCACTCACCAACAGCTCCTTACAGGAAACTGGAATTGACTCTCTAGGATCTCACAAGGACTTTGTCTTCCAAAATGTATTTTACCCAGCCTGGTCTCTGCTGTTGATTTCTTCCCCCTAATCTGAGTGTGTTTGGAACATGTGTCTGTCCCCCACCACCTTCAATTTACTGTGCAGCGGGTTTAAGATTAAAATGAAGAGCACGATAAAATTTTTTTCCTGGAAACT